ATATAAGAAAAAAATACAGAAAATCACAATTTTACAATCACGTTTTATATACATACACGACACAGTAGAAATAGAGAAGTTACATCAATTTTTTTCCCCAAATTTATATATAAATGAATGAATAATTCATTTTAAGTATATTTAATAAAAAAAAATTATTGACAATTCCACTTTTTTATTAATTAATAATTATCAATAAAAATTGTTTAAATATTTGAATTTAAATAAAACAACTTGTGATTGCTATACTTTTGTATTTTCTATGAATAACAAAACATATATGATTTTTTTTATTTGACAACGTAAACATGAGTGTTTTATCATTTCACCGTGCGGTGGCGTTACTAAAGCGATTTAATGACGTCACTGGCATTTGAATCTACATTTTGGAAAAACCATTTTTAAACGTAAAATGACCTCCGTGAAAAAACAATTGTTATTTCTTTTTTATTTTTCTTAATAATTTCTAGTAAACTTTTGAAAATTCAACTTCTCTATTTATCACATTAAAAACATTTGGTAATTCACAATAAAAAATCAGCAAAAGGTTCTGTGATATATTCCGTGCATTTGTATCAAATTAACTAAGTGAATCAGGCACTTAACAATTTATTATATTCTTTGTTTTGTTAATGCAATTTTTATAACGAATATACCGTACTGCAAGTCCGAAAACTAGTTTTGCAACTTTCGCTCTATGCGTATCAATCAATCATATAAATAATTCCTGTTCGAAGTCTTATAAAACGCAGAATTGCTCCGATTATTTAATATCATAACGACAGTTCAATAACGACCGCTAGCTCAGTAGACGACGCTCTAGCTTTCCGAGGCCTAGGTTGTAATTCAAACGAATACAAAATGATATAATGTCTAGTCTCGTCGTGGTCACACACTCATCACACAAACTCTCTTTGATACAAGTTGCTTTGACTCTCTTTCTTCGGATCTTTCGGACCTTATACTTCGAATCCGAGTTACACTTCCCAATTATTGCCCCATAGAGGAGACATTTACAATATCTTTTACCACGCTTGGTAGTCGGATCGACAACTAAAGCTTTTTAATTATTTTAAATTGATTTCTGGAAGATGCTGCCGCCCTACATTTGTTTCAGTTTCTCTCTGTCGACTTTTACTTACACATGAGACGATATGGATTAATGGATATTCTTATACCGCCACGACACTTTATTTAGATTAAATTAAAGTGCTATTCAATGAGAAAGCCTGCACATGCAGGCCTAATTAATCCGTAATCTTAATATATAGAAATTACGTGTCACGTTGTTTGTCCGCGATGGACTCTTAAACTACTTAACCGATTTTAATCAAATTTGCACACCGTGTGCAGTTTGGTCCAACTTGAGAGATAGGATAGTTTTTTTGCCCATGAGTAACTCACATTTTTTTTTTGGATTTAAGGATTTTTAATGGGACATGACAAAGGGTCGTAGAAAAGGGCAGAACAACGTCTGCCTGACAAGCTAGTATGTATAAATATATATATATATATAATATAGGCTGTGACTATACTTGCTTTTATTATCAATAAGGAATTCTATATATAATTTTCTAGTACATAATACATACATAAATACCCACGCCTGTCGCCCAGAGGGGTAAGCAGAGATTACAGAATTCCATTTGGCACCATCCTGATACACCTGTCTCGCCACCTCCACATGCTTATATCTACGCATACATGCTCGTCGGTTAAGGGTACTCCTAATTTGGCCCATTTTCAATATATCGCTAATTTGGTCGATAAACTTTCGCCTAGGACATCCCTTTCCAACTCTTTCGTTCACTTCTGCCATATAAATCTGCTTTGTCACTCTTTCCTCATTCATTCTTTCTACATGATCCATTTTACTACTTATTCCGTTATAATCAGCATGATACTACCGCCCATCTTTTACTTCGCTCTGTCACCTCTTACGTCACCCACAGGTTTATATGGGGTTGTGGATACCCGTACGCAGCCTCTACACTTTGGCACTAAAAGTACCTAGTACGATCTGCCCCGGTTTCGCACGGGTTATATCTGGCTTCTACAACAGCGCCATCTAACGGGTCCAACTATGCCTATAACCTTCGCGCAAGTGCTAACAATAAGTTGACAAAGTTTTACCGAAATCTGATAAACAGTATTGCAGCGCATAAAATACGAACAAACAAAAAATATTTTTTATATTCTTAATTAGTAGATGACAATTAATCAGAGAATGTCGACGTTATTGACGATAAAAACGAAGATAAAATATTTTTGACTTTCCCTCGGACATTATTATTCAGTATCCAGATTTTTACGTTAGATTTATTTTAAATAAAACTATTAGTAATGCATTTACTAATAGCATACATCATTACTAGAATACAATCGTTTTATTCAATATAGATTACAATAAAACTTATTGAATCATTTACGCTTTTGCCACAGGTCCAGAAAAAAACATCTGTCCTGGATAGAACCAGTAAGGAAACCCGCGGGACTTTTTTATACATTAATATGCAACATAATATGTTGTACAATTGAATATGAAAACATCCAAAAATACTATGACAACGATCACCTCCCAGGGGTGGGTTCTTATCAAATATGTATTTTTAGTAAAATTTTCCTTTCTCTTAGCTTTTGTAAGAAATTATTTTTTTATAAGAGAAGCACATAATCTACCTGATGGTAAGTGATTGCATAGACATCTACATCTATCCTCGATTACGAATCAAGATCCAAATGCGTTATCACCCGTGAGGACTGAGATGAAATGCCTCGTATCCAGTAAAAATGGTCTCCGGTTCTCTACACACACCATACGAAACACAGCAGCGTTAAGCTACTATCTGGTATTGTGAGAGCGTGGTCCTTCCCCGGTCGAGCCGACCCATTCATGCTACAACCATAAAAAGGCTGCAACATGGTTCTACTACGTATAATCGGTGATATACGGTGGTATTTGAATGGTGGATTCGAACCCCCAACTTTCGAACTTCAAATTGCTTAAATTTCAAGGTGATTTTCAATGATAGATTTTTTATGTTCATGCAAATTCCTATTGTACATTAAATTTAATTAAAATTTTATGGATTTTTCATGAAGCACTTATGCTAACGAGTGTCTATAAAAGTACAAAAATTAATAAATTTTACGCGTAAATATCGTAAAAATTTGTGTCATGCTAAAATCCTAAGTAACTTCTCATAAATGCGAATATCTTTTACTACATTTTTAATAGAATAAAAGTGACACATGAGCGCACACAGTTTTAGTGATAAATGGATGCTGTGGCCATAGACACCTACATCTATCCTCGATTAAGAATCAAAATGCAGATGCGTTGTCATCCGTGAGGACTAAGATGGAATGCCTCGTTTCCAGTAAAAAGGGTCTCTGTTTCTACTACACTCACCATACGAAACACAGCAGCAATAAACTGCTACTTTACGCTGGTATTCTGTGTCATTTCTCGATCGAGTCGACCCATTTTTGTTACAACCACAGTATAGTTGTAGCATGACTCTACCACATATATATTTTTTATAAAGCTACATTAGAACTTTCTTTTGTATTGTGGGGGGCGTTTACATACATAAATTGCACAAAGACACACATTCAGATCCGAAACAATTATTCGCAAGCTACACAAACAGCTGTGCCGTGCGGGATTTGAACTCCTGGCTCTGTAGAGCCGCAACCAAACCCTTAGTCACTGTGCTACGGAGTCGTCAATTGAGGAAAAATTATCAATTAAAAATGCACAAAAAATGTTATGAGGAAAAGTTGATGACATTAAAGAATTCCAAAAATAACAATTTATTACGATTTTTTAAAACATTTAAAAATTAACCTTTGCTGATTATTTAATTACATAGTGCAATGAAGATGAAATTTTTATGGAGTAAATAATTTGGTGCTAACAATCAACAAACTAACACTACTAATTCAACAGCAAATAGAGACACCTTTTCATTTGAAGAAAATAAAATTTTATGTAAACATATCTAACGTTAATTTCACCAAATATACGAACGTTTGTACTGTGTTACTGGCACGTCCTAGCACTAAACAACGTTCGTGTAATTGTTATAAAAACAGTTGTAAATAGTAGTTTATCGTACAATTACCCATGCGTAACCAACGAGATAAGAATAATGCATTAATGGGCCAAAACTTACGCTCAGAACAAAAGCTGCTGCACTTTCGAAATACCGTTCACACAGTAGTATTAACTTTTTTTCCAAAACCGCGCACAGTTCACCAACAGTCTCACTTTCGTACCGTTTCCAATAATATCGTATCACTTTGCGGTTATTGTAATTCTAACTGTATTCTCTACACTGACATAGACATCACACAGGGAAGGTAATGGATATCAGTAACTTCCACACAGACCTGAAAAAATCACATTTGTCAACACAAGCACTTCACTAGCAAATATAAAAAAACGCAAAATATTACAGCGAAACTCGGCGACGACGTTTCTCATGTGACGATTAATTGACACTAATCTTAAATTAAAACCTTCGCGGAAAGCGCTTTAAAGGCTTTAATTGTTTAAACAAACAATTACTATTATACACGTAACGCGAGATACACGTGTACGAAAGAAATTTCGTACAGCAATTATCAGATTACTGTCGTCAAGCGCTGCGTGAAGGAACTTTTTCGGCTAAAAACTTTTGCCTGGAGCGTTTCGTAACAGGCGAGCAACGCGCACGAGTCATTACACTGAAATCGGTCCAAATTCGCCACCGCACGCACGACCGCGTGGAAACATCACTCCGAGCGCTGATCGCGAATTTTCACCGCACACGCGACATTTTCCACGCCGCCTCCGGTGCATTGTTATGCAACTACTAAACGCACCGGCCGCCAAAACGCGCCGGCTTTTCAAAATTCGCGGAAAATGGAGCGCGGAAAATTATAACCTCAAAATGGGAAAGGGTCAAAATTGTCGTCACCGAGTTTTTTTAAGCAGTGTAATATTTTGCGTTCGTATGCTTCAACACTTTGGCGAATGTTTATCGGGAACGTTTTCGGGTGCGCGGTCTCGTGTAACGGAGCGTCATTACGTGACCGACCCGGGCGGGATCTCACGCGATACTGACGGTCGCTCGGGCCGCTGCCTCTATTCTGCTATCTTGACTACCGATTCAGTCAGTGTCTTCGAAAAAGCTCGCACCACGTCCGACGCGAACCAAGAAAAACCAGACGATATACGAACTTCCCGAAATTCTGTTTACTTGCCCTTTCACTTGCTTACATGATTTCACAACCGCACGTCTGCGAGTATATTGTCCGTACAAACAAATCAAGCGCGATTCGTTAAATTAGAAAACTGTAAACTGTGATCCATCTCCCCGATGCGTGCTTGATTAGATTTTCTAAACATTCTCCTGTTTCCATTCATCAACACCCATTAACGGCGTGCGGTGCAGTATGGCATCACTAAACTGCGTTTGAATTTTCGCGGTTATTTTTTGTTTTCGCGCAATTAATCAAATAACCAATCACAGAGACATAAGAAAAATGTTCGGGCTGTCATTTTATATTGATTTTAGCCAATCACGATTAAAAATTATGACAAAACAACGTTTCAAACTTCAGTTTTGAAAAACGAGCGGCATAATGGACATTCCTATCAAATATATCCTATCAAAATAAAGTCTTTAATATTTTAATTATTTATGAATTTGAATGTATGTTGAGTATTGTATCATATTCTTACATTAATCTTTCATCTAAATTCACATAACTATTGTATCAGTTTGTATCTATTTACATTATATAGCATGGCAAATGTGAGTGATGCCAAATTGCATCAGTAGCCGAATATGTGATCAAATATTAACTATGAATACATTTTTGATTTATCAATAACTGGTATATTATTCGAGGTCGTAATGATATATTTTTTATTATTTTAGGAGCTGTGCACTACATGATGCACATGCAGCTCTTGAAGATGATGAAGATTTGGAGCCGTCTTGTATTTTCATTGAGCCTCCAGATCCAGTCATGCATACCGATGAAGACTCGGCAGATGAAGATCAATCAGGCTTGATTAACAATCTCTTTGGTCGTCAACTTAGTGCACAATGTAAAGTAGTATTAAAGTCAAAGAAAAAAACATCTAAAAACTCAAAAGGCACTAAATGTGGTAGCAAAGTACCGAATGAGCCTCTAGACGTCTCATCAGCCAGTTGTGGGAGTGTTCCTGTTCGAGGTTGTGGTCGAGCGAGAGGTCGAGGGCGAGGTGGTCGCAGTGGATCTCGCGGTATTCAAAACAATGCTGTGTCAGAAGAACTATCCCAGACTACTTCGTCTGATGATTCGAAGGATGATGATGAGTCTTTGCCAAAAAATTAAGGAGTTCTTCTCAAACCTGGCTTCAAGAAGATTTGTGTGAGTCAAGACCGATATTTCCTAATCCTCACTACAGCAAATGTAGAGGAAAGTCCTCAATCGAAATGTTAGTTATTTTTGGATGAATCTTTTTATGAATTTCTAGTAACTGAATCTCGGAAGTATGCCGCCTTCCTAAACTGCCCGAATCCAAAAATTTCGGTTGATGAAATGAAAGCTTTCGTTGTGATCCTTGTCAATTTTGGATATAATACTATTCCATCAATACATCATTACTGGGACCGAGGAGACTACTTGAGGAACAATCTGATATACAATTGTATGCGAAGAGATAGGTTCAGAACAATCATGAGATTCTTACATTGTGCTGATAATACGAATATAGATTCTTCAGATAAAATGTGGAAGCTAAGACCTCTGATAAATATGCTGAAACAAAAATTTTGCAATAACTACGTACCAAACCCAAATCTGAACTATAATGAATCTATGATCGAGTACTATGGCAGGCATGGATGTAAACAACTCTAGCGCGGAAAATCTATACGGTTTAATTAACTTAACATTTTGTAATGTTTAACCTTTTTTCCTAATAATGCTCTGTAATACTTACTTTTTATTCGAATAAAGCTTGATTTAAAAAGTATGAGTTTAATTTATTTTTCCTGCTATATTAGGCTAGCGGTGCAATTTGGCATCACCTGATATTTCCAAAAGTATGGTATGCATATTTTTTAAACCTTGATTTTGTGTTAAGGGTGTTATAAATTTTAAAATATTTAAGAATCACGAAAATCCAAGACATGACAAAAATTCCGCCGTTAATGGGTAGAGCATACGATTAGAACTGATTGTCGAAAAACCTGACAAATGGAACTGGAACAGGAGATAATCAACGGCATCTTCATTTTAACAACGTAAAAAATAATAAAAAACGTTTGATTGCCAACCTGCCTGCCATGCGTGGCCACTATGGCAAAAAATTCCCTCAATGTCACTCATGAGGTCTGTACAGGCTTCTCCTATTGATTGCATATCAATAGGAGAAGCCTGTACAGACCTCAGCAGAAGCTGTAATGAATAAGGTAAAACTTAAAATTAATTAAAAGTATTATATTATCAATCAAACTTAAGCTTTTTTACCAGTAACAATATTACCGGGATAGAGTCTACGGAAATATACAATATGATGGCTTAGTAACTCAGTAGCTATGGCGTTGATAGCCGCGGTTTCGAATCCCACAAAACACGTGTTCTTGGTCAAAATATTGTTCCGGATATAGATAATTATATAAGATATACGATAGATGTACGAGTACAGACTTTTTATCCGCAAAACTTGTACAATTAAAAATAATTATAAAATTAATGTTCTTAATTATCTTAAATTTAAACAACCTGTATAGTCTATAGTACACTGCAAAAGAAATCAACGCTGACACTAAAAGGCTCGTCTTTTTATTCCCATATCCAAAGTAATACATGCATTATTTAAAAAAGGTTCCGACTGAGTATACGTGGTAGAGCCACGCTGTTGTTATATTATAGCTGGAGCACTAATGTGTCGACACGACCAGGGTAGGACTACGCTCTAACTGAATACCAGCGTAAAATAGCAGCTTTATGCTGCTGCATTTTGTATGGTGAGTGTAGAGAACCGGAGACATTTTTTTACTGGAAACGAGTCATCTGCATTTTGACTCTACATCGAGAATTGATGTAGATTTCTATAGGCCACAGCATGCACTTACCATCAGGTGTACTATGAAATATAAACAGAAACTTTTTTATTCGATATAGATTATAATTAAAAGTATTTTTTTTTAATTTACCACTGGTTCAGAAAAAACCTCTGTTGTGGGAAAAAATATCAAGAAACCCAGTGGGACTTTTTTGCTCTTTGCTTTGTGAGCTCGTTTGTCACCGTTATTCAATAAAAAAGTTACGTTGGATAGAAACATTAATTCAAACACTATTACTATCTCCTTTCTACCTAGGGTCCGTCTCATCGTCCGTCCGTCCTACAACTCTCGTACGTATTTCTGCTGCCAAGTAGCAGTGCGTGCAATGTGCTCCTGTCTGAAGGATATAACGAATCAGTATAGTTACATGCTGTGAGGCATTACCATTTTTAATCTTGGTCCTCAGGTGTGATAACGCATCTGTAGCTTCTTCTTTTGACGTTGGTTGCAGGCGTCCATAGACTGCAGTAGCCGTGAGCACTACCATCAGGTGTATGGACTGTGAGTTAGTTTGTCAGTCCAATTTTAAAAAAGAACGATTATAAAATATATTAATTATGAGATTTGAACAGAAATCCTTTCATGTGACAAGTCCGCCGTTTCGGAACATTTTACTACAGATCTTTATATTCGTTATCTTCATCACCCATTGTCCACTACATTTATAAATATAAGATAAACACCGCCATCTATCGGAAACCACCTCAATTTTTTTCATAATTATCGCTAAGTGTCTCTTGCGACTCTATGTCTAATAAAAATATTTTTCCGGAAGGTTTAGTAGACAGAAAAAACATAACCTAATTAAATTCTACATTTAAATAAAAGTTAATTAGTCATAATATGTACGGAAACCTAATAGAGCGAGGCACGACTCACACTTGGTCAATTTTGTCAAGCTAAGTTCGATTTATTCATGGTACGGGTAACGGCACAAGAAATAATAAACCTAGGTTCACCAGAGTTTATTGTTGTAATTACTCATGATACACGGCCATGTAACTCAAGTTCGTAAAATTTATATATTACATTAATGTCCGCCTAACCCTTAACCAGCTGTTTCTGTTATCAATACCAGTAAGTTTTATCCAGTATACTGAAGACTAGATCTAGTTTCAGCCAAAGGCAACACTCTGTTCGCCACTCCTGAGGACTAAGATGGAATGCCTCGTTTCCAGTAAAAAGGGTCTCCGGTTCTCTACACTCAACACACGAAACTGGTATTTTAAGCTGGTATTCTGTGAGAAAGTGGTCCACCCCGGTCTACCTCGATCAAGCCGACCCATTCGTGCTAAAACCGTAATACAGCTGCAGCATAGCTCTACCAGTTAGAAAACTATATATTATGTACGTGTATTATTTTATTAGCAATGAACAACAATGATGAACAACGACAAAAGTTTCTTACTTTCTTTCTCTTTTTTCTAAAAGTAGGTGTCTATGGGCCACAGCATCCACGTATAATTAGGTTGACTAAGTGCTCGTTTGTCATCCTTATCCATAAAAAAGAAACTTAAATATAGCCGGCTAATCTTAAGTTTATTATTTACACTAACATTTACTGTGACATGTTTTTAAATTGCTAAATTAAATTAATAAATAAATAAAACGTTGGCTCCATTCGCATCCAAGAATAAAAATACTGTAATTTTATTATTAGCAATCGAAAAACACTTAGCGTTGTCGACATTTAATTTGATCAAAATTACACATGACTCAACATAATGTATTTTTAATTGTTCTATTCCTAAAACATTCAGATTTTAATGTTATCGATTTCAAAATAGGATGTCAGTAATCAGTCTAAACTATATTTGTTTATTAAATGAATTCTTAAGTCGGCATAACAATATTCAAAATATGCAATAGCCGATTCCGAAAAACAAGGGAATAAAGTCGAAACCTATCAATTACTACGCGATGGAGATTTTGTTCTGCCATAAATCAATTGCCGCATATATGAAAGATCATCACTTGAGAACGGCTGGACGGATTTTGATGATTTTTTGTGTTTTTTTAAAGAAGAGGGGGCAAACGAGCACACGGTTCACCTGATGTTAAGTGACAGCCCAGCCCATGAACAACTGCAACATCAGGGGAATTACGGGATTACGGGTGCGTTGCCGGCCCTTTAGAAAGGACTAAGCTCTTTTCTTGAAGGTCCCCAGGTCGTATCAAATGTGTGTATTTGAGTAGGTTTCTAGGTTATTTATATTCACAACTGGACCCGGCGGTGTAGTAGTAGCACTGTTGTCGAGATCCAGAAATGCCACTGGGACTCCGTGACGAATCGCTAATAAAATATAAAAATTGTCTCCAGACCGGATATCGGTCACGGCGGCAATTCTCAACGGAGATTGGCTATCTGCGCAGGACAGGATTATAGTACATGAGTGTTTGCGCAAGCACAGGTGTACTCTCTATTCCCTCGCTCTCATAGTCCGGTAGGACGGCAAGCCGACACGACCGGGAGAACAGGACCGACGGTTTTACACGCTTTACTAAGTTACTGCGAATTTCTTGGTTTCTTGAAAACAGAATTCCAGCCCAGGACCTCATGATCAGTTGTCACGAACCACGCAGTCAATGACAATATAATATAATATAATGGAATATATTAGAGCAGAGTAGTACACAGTAGAGTAGAGTAGAGTAGTTTAGTAAAGAAGAGTAGTAGGGTAGAATATAGTATGGTAGAGTTGAATTGGGTAATGTAGTTTGGTAAGGTAGAGTAAATTAGAGTACAATATGGCATGGTAGAGTTGAAATGAGTAGAGTAGTTTGGTAAAGTAAAGTAGACTAGAGTAAATTACAGTATAGTAAAGCCGAAACGTTAGAGTAGTTTGGTAAAGTAAAGTAGAGTAGAGTAGAATATAGTATACTAGGGTCGAATTGGGTAGAGTAATTTGGTAAAGCAGAGTGTAATATAATATAGTATAGTAGAGTCGAATTGGATAAAGTAGTTTGTTAAAGTAGAGTAGAGTAAAATTCACTATGGTAGAGTCAAACTGGGTAAAGTAGTTAGGTAAAAAAGAGTAGTGTAGAGTAGAATTTAGTATGATAGAGTCGAATTGAGCAGAGTAGCTTTGTAAAGTAGGTTTGAATGGAGTAGAATATAGTATGGTAGAGTCGAATTGAGTAGAGTAATATGGTAAAGTAGAGTAGAGTATAGTACCGGTGCCTTTTATCGTAAGACACATTCGCGGGCGCACACAGTAACTCATATTCCAATATGGACAACGGGTACTCGAGTTAACTAAA